CTATCTATCTATCTATCTATCTATCTATCTATCTATCTATCTATCTATCTATCATCTCTCTCTCTCTCTCTCTCTCTCATCTGTTCTGTTCTGTCTCATGCCTTCCTATCTGACATTATTGCCCTGATGCACTCCTATATACCCTGGAGTAACTTCCACTGAACTAAGTGGGCGTTATTTCCCTGCAACATGCATAAGATAATACTAGAGAGGTGGATAACCCTAACAATCTAGTCTGCTTTTTTGTCCATTTAAATAAGATAGGAATTTTGCACAGTATCTTTCTATATTTCTGTAGTTGATAGAAAACTTCAGAGCCATTTATAATTGCAATATCTTGCAACTTACAGAAGCATGTCTTCTGTTAATTTTATAAAAGTAAATTGCCCATGAACCTTTACAAATAACGTGTATCACCTTTCTTTTATTTGATGTTGAAACAGGTTTGCCAGCCATCTGCATGAATAGCGGTATTTATTATTATGTGCTCAAGCAGAATTTAAGTGCAGAATTTACACTTAAATGAAGTGTAATTTCTGCACTTAGTAGGGGGCTGCATTCAGTGGTCTAGATGGTCCCTTCCAAATTTATGATTATATTCCTTGAATTGTATATTTCCTTGATGCAGCCTTTTAAACTGTAAATCCCTGTGATCTAAAAAGTTAATGACCGTTGTTTGTACACAACTTTAGTAACAGATCTTTTAGACCCTTTTTTACCACCAAGGTTTCAGGTGAAGAAAAATGAATGGTAGCAGATTTTGATAGTGGCACACATTCTTCTGTGAAATCTAGCAGAACCAGAGCAAGAAGTTTTACTTGCAATGGTGGGATTCTTTTATAGCTTAGCTTCCCAAATTAGATACAATATAATCACTCAACTGCTTAGCTGAGGTAATCAAAGTTATCATTTTTCTCCTTCTGGCAACAATATTTAGCTTTTATACAGTGCTTTTTCCTATATTTAGAAGTTGTTTATGTATAGCAGTAGGATATAATCTATCTGATTATAATGTACTGTATAAAAAAACAGGGAGCAAACCCCACACTCACTAGCACTGATGATGTTACCTAGTTGGGTAATGAAA